CAGACAAAGCCCCCAGTGTTTCATTATGCACTTTGTAACATTGCTGTTAAGGACTTTAGACAATTAATGTTTGTTAGTATTATAATAAGTAAGTAAAGTTAATTTATTAAGCATTTTCCACAGACAAACAGTCACAAAGTGCTGCACACAAAAAGCATAAAATAAACAAAAGCATTACCTGGCATAACAGCCAGTTAAAAAGATACAATTAGATACAATAAATAATCTAAAAAAATCTTTCAATAGAAATCCCGTTTTTAAAAAAAGTCAGAGAAACAGCATAGTTACAGCTGTTCCACCGCTTCTGTCAGAGATCGGAGGTGAATAGAAAAACTGTCTCCAGGACATCGTATTGAAAGGTGTCAGACTTAATTTTCATACTGCCAAGTCAAAACCATGTTTCATGTGAAATAAACACAAGCTTTCGGGAACCCTCTGTGGTGCACAGTGGAAACAATATCCAGAAACTCTCCTTTTTGTCCTTTTGTCCTTTTACTGCCACACAGTGGAAAAGTCTTACTTAAGAACAGGATTTGCTTAATAATACATGTCATATATGTTAAAAACATCCTCTTTATTAACTGCCACAACTTCCCCCCCCACAACTTTGTTGCAATTCTGTACTCAAAGAGACAAGAAAAGACGTCACAGACAATTTCAGTAGTTGTTCTGCATTTTCTCGTGACTCACTGCTTACTGCTCTGAGTGTATGTTGCATTTGAGACCTCATAAACTGGTCTCTATTTACAGAAACAGGAAACTATAAAGGGACAAATTTGTGGTTTGGCGGTAACACTTTTATCTGTCTGTTACTAACCTGCAGATGCAAGGGAGATGCATTTGTCAGTATGCAGCTTTGGACAGTGTTTCCTGTCCAAAGCAAAGTAGAAAATTAATTTAAATACTTCAGATTGGACTGGACTATTTAGGACTTAGATTGTTATACATTTTTCAAGGGATTCCATTTTCATTACTTGTATCAAATGCTGTTTCCTCCCTTGAGTTGCTCTGTCATGCCTTTACTGAAGTCACCATCATTTGCTGCCTGTTTTTGGTTCTTAGCATCTTTTGTCTGTTTCAGTTGTCATGAAATGACAAGGGAGCGACTCACCTGATCATTAAACTCCACATCGATCTTCTAAAAGCAGACAGCTGTGCATAAAAATGTAATCCATAAAATATTGCAGTACCTTTTGATTGAAGTACTGTGCAAATACTGTGATAATGATCAAAATATTTCATGCCATGCACACATAACTCATAGATAGATGAGAAATTTTTTTGGACATCTAATTATTACATCAGAAATTAGGAAAATGGAAAAATACACTCAATCTTGCTTCCCAAATTTAGACAGTGGAAATTCCCTGCTTCAAATCACTTCACAGTGTAACGAGTACTTAAGCAACACAGAGGAGACACATGCTCACAGTGGCATCAGCAGAAAGAGAAACATTCAGTGTGGCGGTGCACTGCAAAGAATTACTCGGCTACATGTTAACAGTCAGAACGGGGACCACAAGTATTTAAAGGTGAGAACTTTTTTCTTCTCTCATGATTTTCCTTGATTATTGGTAATGACTGTTTATGATCATCTTTAACTACTGAAGTGTTTTTTTTATGTTAAGTCTTATTTTTGGATCAGTTACATTTTAGCTTAATTAAATGCAGTTTTTCCGCCATAACATCTAAGTAGAAGTTTTAAATTTGAGTTCAGCTGAAAGGCAATTTAAGGGTTGCATTAAGTGAGCTGAACTTGACTAACAGAAAACAAAACCAGTTTCTACTTCATTTTGGTTAACACTGTGGACATTTTCAGGTGACAGCGTTTGATTAAATCAGCCACAGCAGTAAATTATGTTTACTAAATTAATTGATCATTAAATGCAAGATTTGCCTAAAACTACAAAGATCAAAGCACAAGAAATATAATCACACAGTGACACAAATGAATAACTAAAACAGAAACTCAAAGTTTTCATGTTGTAAACGACTTGCTCTTTTGCCCTGTAACAGGGTGGACCCTGAGCTATACATAACCACATAAAATATCTTTGATCAAGTGTTCCTGCATTTCAGCAACTGCATTTCATTGCCTTGTACTTGTGACATGTGCAATGACAATAAAGTTGAATTCTATTCTATTCCTGCTCTTCACAACAAAGTAAATGAGCGATGTTTCTAAAGAAGGAAGTGGTTAACTGTGTAATCCACCTGTAGCTTCCCTTTTAACTTTCAGTAAGCACAGTGCAAAGACATTAACCAGTGTTTTGATTCCTGTTTAGTTGACAGAATAATGATGAATCAAACAAACCACACCGAGGATGTCTTCTCCTGCTACAGTCCTTCTGTTGAAATCTACCGGTACTTCGCTGTGCTGTGGGGATGTGCTGTAACCATCACGGGTACGGTCGGGAACCTGATGACCGTTCTGGCTTTCGCTTTAGACCCACGTCTGAGGACTCGCTTCAATGTGCTCATTGTCAACCTGGCTGCAGCTGATCTCTTGTACTGCACCATCCTGCAGCCCATCTCCGTCGACTCCTATCTACACCTCAGGTGGCGCAGTGGTCATCTGTGGTGCAGAATCTTCGGCCTGCTCCTCTTCCTCTCCAACTCTGTCTCCATCATTACCCTCTGCCTGGTAGCAGTGGGCAGATATCTCCTGGTCGCAAAGAGAGCTGTGTTTGACCGTGTTTTTTCTAACCACGGTCTTACTTTACTCATCATCTTTGCGTGGGCGCTCGGCCTGGTCAGCTTTGGTCCACTCTGGTCTGTCTATGTGTTTGTGCCACAGGTGTGCACATGCAGCTTCCATCGTACTGAGGGTCGTCCTTACACCACCATCCTGCTATTTTTTTATTTTTTTATTGGTCTGGGCTTTGTTGGTGCATTCTACCTGCTCATTTACAAAAAAGTTCAGACTGCATCACAGGCTCTGCTCCGCTACAGACTCAGCCGCCGGTCATCCAAGACAAAACCAGCATCTTCAGTTCAAGGGACCGACGACAGCGGTGTGGAGAGCGGCATAAAGACAAGCAACTCTGATCTGAGCAGCCATGAAATATCCCAAAACATGGATGTGAAAAATCAAAATGTGACCTGTGAAAAGTCTTCCTTTTTCACCACAAGCAATGACACAGCATTAAATTCATCAGCAGCACAGAAGCCTTCCACTGATATCATCGAAAAACCACCTACAACCACACCTGCTAAAACAGCTCACTCATCGCATTCTGCAACCTCAGGGGACGACAGTGAATTCAAGCGTGTGACACGGATGTGCTTCACTGTTTTCCTCTGTTTTGTGTTCTGCTTTGTCCCATTTCTGTTGCTGAACATAGCCGACAAACAGAACCGCGCCCCACAGGTATTGCACATGTTCTGTGCCAATCTCACCTGGCTCAACAGCTGCATTAACCCTGTGCTGTATGCCATCATGAACCGCCAGTTTCGACAGGCCTATCATGTGGTGCTGAGTAAGATGGCAGCTCCCTTTACCCGCCTCTACAGCAGGTAAAACATGCCGCTACTGGATCCTGATTCCTTGGAACTGAAACTTGTCCGACATACAACACTGCTTTTATCACTCTTGTTATTCATGTTACATTACAGCTCTTTAATACGCACAAAAATCTTAACAATTATATTTTTATATGTTGTCATCTTTAGAGGGATGTTTCACAGTGTTCTGTACTTTGTATATACCCAAACCAGAAAATATGTTTTTGTTATGTAATAAATTATATATTGTAATACATATTACATTGTTGTATTTGTTACACGTCATTATCTTGTGTCACTTACATCATATTTAAAAAACCCTCCAGGATTACAAAATCAGTGCTGGATATTGCTTTTCAATGCAACACGCCTTATTTCAGCAACTCAGGAACTTAGGACTCTACACTGTGTCTCAATTCTGTACTTCCTTTGCTGATAGTGACTAATGGTAAGAATAGGTCAGGTCATGCAGCCTTTAGGGTAATATGTGGGTGAAACGTGCATGTACAAACATGTTCGGGTTATCAGTATTTTAATCACTTCGGCACAAAGGAAGCTGATGGAAAAAGTGCCAGAAGCAGCAATGGTTAATTAAAATGTGAAAGTTGTGACACAGTATAAGTCAAAGCGTAAAAGCAGTGTATGTGGTGCTTTCCTTGGAAATTATAAGTATAGTATAAAGTATGAACTGCTTAACATGTTTAAGCTTAACAGTAACAACAGTAACTTAACCTTGTAAATCTTATCTTGAGTCAGCCTTGTCATCCAGCTGCTGAAAGTAAGTAAAGCCTGGTTGTAATCTGTGGTGAAAAAGTTTGCTGTTTCCACCTTTAGTGGGAGCAGTTTTCTTGCATATTGTGCTACTTTTGATATTGAAGTGTTTTTTCTGTGACAAGGAAACCATTAACATGGCTCTTGCTCTTTTTTTTTTTTGCCTGTCCCGTTTGGCTCTTTTGCCATCAGAATTGTTGTCTAAAGGCAAAGAAAGATGCCCAACGGATTTACTTTACCAAATGGACCATCCCAGCCTTGCCATAATGGTCCATTTGATTCACCTTTTATTGTTTATTTTATTTTCACTTACTGAATACGGGACAGACTTGACTGGGGGAAAGAAGGGGAGAAAGAAAGAGGGAAAGAGAAACAGCTGAGAAGAGGGACGGGGGAGAAGGGCAAAAACCAAAAACCAACAGAACAGGCAGAAAAAAAAAGAGAAAAAGAAAAAAAATGCATATATCAGTCACCTGGATCACCTGCTGAGAAAGAAAAAAGAAAACAAGCAGAAGAGAACAAGAGTAATAGAATAAACAACATCACAATGATATGGCAAAGAACGGCAAAGAATTACTCAGCTATGTGTTAACAGTCAGAACAGGAACCACAAGTATTTTAAGGTGAGAATTTTTTTTTTTTTGTGGTAATGATTTTCCTTGATTACTTGTTTACAATAATCTTTAACTCCTTTAAGTGTTTTTTTTTTAAAGTAAGTCTTTCTTTGGCTCACTTACATTACAGCTTCATCAAATGCAGTGTTTCACTAACAGACAGCCAGTGGAAGTTTTAAATTTCAGTTCAGTTGAAAGGCAGTTTAAGGGTTGCATTAAAAACACACTGATTCTGAATTTTTAGTAAATTGAACAGTAAAACAAAACCAGTTTCTACTTCAACGCATTTGCAGGTGACAGGGTTGGATTAAATCAGCCACGGGAGTAAATCATTTTTAATAAATTGATTGATGATTAAGTGAAAGATTATTCTACAATTACAAAAATCTAAGCACAAAAAATATAGTGTCAGACTATATTCATTAACCACAACAAATGACGGATTCTGCTCTTGCTCTTGACGAAGGCAGTCGCACTTTTCTCCTCCTCTCCTCCTCCTCTCCCTTAGCTTCCCTTCTTAGCCTCTTATGTCCTTGTCTAGTCTCGTGGTTTTTTTTGTATTTTCCCTGGAACGTTCTCTCACAGTCTGTTCTTGTCACGGTCCTGGGTCTCCTGACCCAGCGTTTTTAGTTCCTTGTGATGTTTGTATTATTGTACTTGTGTGTGATTTATTCTATGGTTTCTAGTTTTGATCCCTTGCCCTTCATGTCTCTCTGTGTCCCCTCTGTTCTGTGTAAGTCTGTGTCTGCATGTTTGAGTTTCCCTCTGTCGTTTGGTTCATCGAGTCCTCTGCGTCATGGTGTCTCTGTGTTTCTTAGTTGCTGTCTCCACTGTGTCAAGTTCGCGTCTCTGTGTGATCCTTCCTGTTTTACTTGGAAGGTCCGTGTTTTATGTGAATGTGTCCTGCTTTGCTTGTCTCGTCTGTTGATAGGAGTTATGTGGGTAGTTCAGCTTCACCACTAGGGGGCTGTCTAACCAAATTCAGAATCAGAATCAGAATCAGAAAGGGTTTTATTGCCAAATGTTGAGCAGGTTTACAACATTAGGAAATTGCTGCGGTGCTTCAGTGCAAACATACTGTCATAAATTGCGCTTAAATAGACATGAAAAAATAAAAGTAAGAA